AGAGAAAAATTTAAGGGGGTCTGAATACTTTCCGTACCCACTGTATATATATATATATATATATATATTTATATAATAGAAATAACTGAAATAAATAAGCTTGAATTAATAAAATGACTAAAACTAAAACTGAAATAAATATAAAATTAAAGCTAAATAAAAAAAATTATAAACTCAATAATTAATAAGATATATAATATAAACATGTTAATATGATTTTGGTGTGAAAAAAAAAAATGTATTGACTTTTTCCTGTGTAAAGTTATAACCAGTTTTACAACTTTTAACGCCATAAGCTCTAAAACCACAAAATGACTGTAAAAATGCTGATTTAAACAGCTTTACAGCTCAAATCATACACAAGTTTTAACAGAAGAATTGTGTACGTGCTTTTATATAAGCTCAAAATTTTACAACCTCCAAAAATTGGCCCCATTCGTTTGCATTGTGCACCCTTGATATCTGCTTTATATAAAAAATATTTTTTATGCGGATTAAAATTATGCCGCAAATGCTGATGTTTGAGCTCAACTTGTATTGAAACCTGAATGTTTCATTAGTTAACCAGTTCAAGGAGCAATAACAAAATGCATGCTTTTTCAACTAGGTAACCTATTCCACATCGATTTCGGTCACATACTTGGAAACTACAAGAGTTTCTTGGGGATAAGCAAGGAGCGAGTGCCTTTTGTGCTGACTCCTGATTTCCTCTATGTGATGTGCACAACGGACAAAAAAAGCAGTCCTAATTTCCTCCAGTTTCAGGTACGTTCATACTATTTCACCTGTTAGCAACAGACTCCTCTGCTGTGACTAAACGTAATCTCCCTCAAAATCGCAGAACTTATGTCCTGGGCATCGGTGATCGTCACAATGACAACATAATGATCACAGAGACAGGTAATTATTGTTATTACTGGAACCTCTGCTGCCTCTACTGCTGTTAAAGGAATATTCCAGGTCCTGTGCAAGTTAAGTTCAGTCGACAGCAAAATAGTTCCACTCATTCCAACTTTTCCAAAAAAAAAACAAAACTATTATCTAAAACTATTATCTGTAGTTAAAATAAAGCTGAAATAAAATAATAATAAAATAATGCCTGAAGGCCTACCTGGCTCTGAGACACCACACCAACCTGCTGATCATCCTGTTCTCCATGATGCTGATGACCGGCATGCCTCAGCTGACCAGCAAGGAGGACATCGAGTACATACGGGAAGCGCTGACGGTCGGACGATCGGAGGACGAAGCCAAACAACACTTCTTGGACCAAATCGAGATCTGCCGGGACAAGGGTTGGACGGTGCAGTTCAACTGGTTCCTACACTTGGTGCTAGGCATTAAACAAGGTGTGGAGAAACGTTCAGCTTGAAGACAAACAGTACATTTACTTCGTGAAGTACATTAGTGTTTTTATTTTTTTAATTTTTTGCTGTATTTTTAGAATTTAGAATTTTACTAAAAAGCTTTTTATAGACCTAAATGATATTATTTAATGCACGTACATCATGCATTGTGTTGTTTTTAATACTTCTTGCAGTCTTGATATTATCTTGCACTGTAATACAATACATTTTTATTTGTTTTAAGATTTGGGTCATTTTAAATGCCCATAAAAAAAAGCTATAAATGGCAAAAGTCAGGAGAAGAGCTGGTATTCTGTTAGTTTTGCATATTATCTGCATACGTTTCGAGATGGAGCACCAAGTAATTTTATTTCTGTCTCTGATATGACTTGGACCTATTAGCGTGGATGCAGCAACATGCAAAAGTTTTATTCACAGATGTCATGGTTGAAATCTCTTATTCGCCTTTATTTGTCATCCTTTATTAATTTATTCTGTTATTGAAAGTTCCTAATAATGATAATAAGGTGCGTTTCTAAGATAAAAGGCATAGTATGTATCTGGTCATGCGATGTCAACATGGTGACCACCGGGATGTACAATGAAACCCCTTTTCCAGAAAATTAAAAAATATATAATATTAAAAATAAAGTGGAAGTGGAAATGATATTGATTACAATAATTATTAACCGTAATCTTTAGTTTTATATTCAATCAGCTAGAGCAATTATTTTATATATGGATTACCTATGTCCCACATCAACATGAAATTATTATTTTTTAAATATATATTTAATTACTTTATATTAAAATGCTTTGTAAATAAACCATGTCAATGTGTCTGTCAGTTATTCAGCTCAATTTTCAATTCTTTTCATGTTAATTTGAAATTTCTGCATGCATTAAATATGTTCTTTATGCTGTGGAACACAAAAGAAGATATTCTGATTTTTCCCCCCATTACTATGAAAGTCAATGGGGTCCAACGTTTTTTCTATCCTATGGACTTTCATTATCAAAAAACTATTTTTTGTGTTGCAAAGAAAGAAAGTCAGTCATACAAGTTGCAATTATTTGCAATTTTCTTATATTCTGCTGACGCGAAAACTCAAGACTGGGGAGTTATGTAGTTGCTAAGGTGTTTTGAGTGGTTACTAGGGCGTTGCTAATGTGTTCTGAGTTGTTGCTAGGGCGTTGTTAAGGTATTGCTTAATTTTTACCCATAACTAGTAGAGTGCTAATATGAAATAGTTTGGAAACAGTGTTGTTCTTTTCACCATTTTTGTCCCTTTTAACATTCATTTAATAATCAAATTAGTATTGAATTGTAACTGTGGTCACACATGAGAGGATTTAAGAGGGACTGGCTCTTAAAACCATTTCACAAAGTCAATTTCAGGTTAGATTTCTATCTTTGTGTTGTGTTTGAAAGGGCTCTCACTTTGATACAGTATTTTTCTACAAATTACAAAATGTTCTGTCTGTTTCATTAGCTTACTTTGTCCAGATCACAAGAAAGTGTTTTGTGAGAAATACTGTTGCAGTCAAAACCATATTTGTTTACAGTGTTAATCATTAAACCAGGTTTAAATCATTTTAGCATTGCTTCTGTGTTCAGAGTGTTTTCTAGGTTTCAGAGGGAGGCTAGCATGTAGCTACCATGTTTTGAGTGGTTGCTAGGGTGTTGATTAGGTGTTCAAAGTGGTTTCTAGGGTTTCATATTGTAGATAGGATGTTGCTGCAGTGTTCTGAGTGGTTGCTAGGGTGTTCAAGGTGGGTTCTAGTGTTTCAGATGGTAGCTAGGATGATGTGACAATGTTCTGAGTGGTTGCTAGGGTGTTATTTAGGTGTTCTGAGTGGTTGTTAGGGTTTCAGATGTAGCTAGGATGTTGCTATGGTGTTCTGAGCAGTTGCTAGGGTGTTGCTTAGGTGTTCAAATTGGTTTCAGATGCTAGCTAGGATGTTGCTACGGTGTTCTGAGTGCTTGCTAGGGTGTTGTTTAGGTGTTCAAAGTGGTTTCTAGGGTTTCAGATGGTAGCTAGGAAGTTGCTATGGTGTTCTGAGTTGTTGCTAGGCTGTTGCTTAGGTGCTCAAATTGGTTTCTAAGGTTTCAGATGGTCGCTATTGAGAGGTCTAAGGATCAAGGCAAAGGAGCTTAACTTTTATTAATTAATTTTAATGTCAACATCCTGGTTTACCAAAAGCAATAAAGTGCATAAATCTTAGGGACAGTGACAATGACAAACAGCATATTAACATTGCAAATTTAAAATATATATAAAACATGACTTCATAAAGAGAAAGACTAATAAATCACAAAGCATAATTTGGACTTGCTTGGCTGAGATTGGTCTGCGAACAATCTTTTGCAAACTAAGAGAATATAATTTAAATAAATCACACACTGAATGTTTTTACGAGTCTGATTGAGGTTGACATCATAATACATTAAAATATCTAAAATATTAATCAACTGACTGCATATAGGCTGCACAGGAAAAAACTATTTATACACTCCCAAACAAATCCAATCTGTTCCGTAAGTGTTTCTTTACCAACACATTCTACACGAGTTACACGCGTAACAGTGCAAAAGCTGGAAAACTGCCCTGTCTTTTTCAGGTACCATCAGGCATGCCTTCATGGCAACCGTTGGCAAGGTCGCCAACGTCTGGTGTCTGACATTCTGGCATTTCCCCGATCACAGCTTTGCATATCACTCTCAGCCAGCGCAGTTTCACTTCCTCCGTGTCGGCAGTGAAGTAGTGGACAGATTTGGATTGGCGCAGACGGAAGCTGGTGGGAGGATGATCCACAGACCTTTGGACGTCCTCAACCTGGTAACCCAGGAGCGGGATGGTACACTGGGCTTTGACATCCTGGTAACAAAATCCCGGAGAAACCAGACTCATTCAAGGTCAATATTAACATTTAAAAGTAGAACATATAAGTTACTAAAGCTAGGGCGTTGCTAAGGTGTTCTGAATGGTTGCTAGTGTTTCCGAGGTAGCTAGGATGTTGTTAAGTGACTCCTAAGGTGTTTTGAGTGGTTGCTAAAGCATTGCTAAGGTATTCTGAGGGTTAGGGTTTATATGATAGCTAGGGTGTTGCTAAGGTGTTCAGAGTGGTTTATATGAAAGCTAGGATGTTGCTAAGGTGTTCAGAGTGGTTTATATGGTAGCTAGGATTTTGCTCAGGTGTTCTTAGTGGTTTCTACAGTGCTGCCTAGGTATTCAGAGCGGTTTCTAGGGTTTATATGATACCTAGGATGTTGCTAAGGTGTTCAGAGTGGTTCCTAGGGTTTATATGATAGCTAGAATGTTGCTAAGGTGTTCAGAGTGGTTCCTAGGGTTTATATGATAGCTAGGGTGTTGCTAAGGTGTTCAGAGTGGTTTATAGGGTTTATATGGTAGCTAGGATGTTGCTAAGGTGTTCCTAGTGGTTTCTACAGTGCTGCCTAGGTGTTCAGAGCAGTTTCTAGAGGTTATATGGTAGTTAGGATGTTGCTAAGGTGTTTTGAGTGGTTGCTAGGGTCTCTGGTAGTAGCAAAGACGTTGCTAAGCAGTTCTTAAATGTATTCTAAATGGTTACTTGGGAACTGCCAAGTGTTTGCCAAGTTGTACAGAGTGGTTGCTGGTGAGTTAGGGTTTCTAGTGGTTGATAGGATGTTGCTAAGGTGTGTTCAGAGTGGTTTCTAGGTTTCAGAGGGAAGGTAGCATGTTGCTACAATGTTTTAAGTGGTTGTTAGGGTGTTGCTTAGGTGTTCAGTGGTTTCTAGGGTTTTAGATTGTAGCTAGGATGTTGCTGTTCTGAGTGGTTGCTAAAAGTGTTTTTTTAGCATTTCAGATGGTAGCAAGGACGTTGCTTAGTGGTTCATACGTGTTTTCTGAGTGGTTACTAGGGAACTGCTAAGTGGTTGCTAAGGTATTCAGAGTGGTTGCTAAAGTTTCAGAAGGTAGCTAAGATGTTGCTCTGAGTGGTTGCTAGGGCATTGCTAAGGTGTTGAGGTTTGTTTATGGGGTTTTAGATGGTAGATATGATGTTACTAAGTATTTACTAGGGTTTCTGGTGGCACCAAGGATGTTGCTAAGTGTTCAGAGTAGTTTCTCGGGTTTCAGACGGTAACCAGGATGATGGAAGCTAGAATGTTGCTAAGCAGTGTTCAGAGTGGTTGCTAGGGCGTGGTTAAGCGCTTGCTAAGTTGTTCTGAATGGTTGCTAGGGTGTTGCTAAGTGGTTACTAAGGTGTTCTGAGTGGTTGCTAGGGCATAGTTTTGTCAAGCCAACATAATGTGAAGCAAGCTACACAAAATGTGTTTTTAAGGAGTATTTAGAAGTACTTTGTAGCATTTTTCATATCGCATCATTGAAGGCATGTGAGCTCGACTACACTGCGTCTCTCACCTGTGGAGCGCCATACAGGTAAAGAACCAGCGCGTCATGCTGCGGAATCACACACCACACCCTCTGACACGGTTTAGTTCGGTCTGTACTGTACTGCAGGAAGCCACACAGGAAACTGTTTCCTGAGACCTGAGCCGCTTCAATCTGGTAAAGATCAAGAGGAGAGAGAAAAAAAAATCACGATTATTTCAAAAATGGTTCATGCAGACAGAACAAAAACTCAAAACATCAATAAGACATACCTCAAGAATTCCTCTTTTCTTCCCGCTGACTGGTTCCTCAGCATCCACTCTTCCGGTCAGAATGAAGTAACAGTCCTTACACACCTTGTTTAATTTGTTGCCGTCGTACCTCAGCGATGCCTTGTAGTCCGAACATTTATAACACACAACCTAAGACACATTTCAAAACGTAATTTTTTTGGAGTACAAAAAAATGTTCTGAGTTAGAGTATTGAGTTATGGCTGATCTATAATTCATTTAACACTGATAGAATTTAACAGGAAGTGCTCGTTCAGATTTCCAGATAAATGTATGCATGCAAACTCACGTATCCACATGCCCTGCAATGGTGTCTCCTGCGGGTCAGGGGGTTGAAGGGCTCCTTGCATTTCATGCACATGGTCACTTCATTGTCCCGAATCCAGCGCGGTGCTCTCTTCCCCAACTCCTCTTTCTGAAAAACACATGAGCACAGATAAGGGAATGTCTTAAATGAAGATTGACCCCCACCACAGTTGTCTTTATGCATGACCAAATTGCTCTTTCTACTTACAGAAACCTCATCCACCACTTCTTTAGAGGCTGATTTGAACGATTCATTCTTCTGCTGAAAGATTTCAATGGTCTTCCGGAATGCCTAGAACGACCCACATTGAAACTTTACTATCGAAGCTTGTTTCTGCCTCGGAATAAAAAAATAATTGCGACTTTTTATCTCACAATTTAGACTTGTTTTTTCCTTGCAATTTTGATATAAACTCTTAATTGCAGGATATACTGTATACTCATTTGTGAGAAAAAAACATCTGAGTTTGTCTCACAAGTCTGACTTTTTTCCTTGCATAACTGCAAGATATAAGCCTTGCAATTGTGAGTAAAAAGTTTATTTAATTCTGAGTTTATATCCCACGATTCTGACTTTTTTCCTTGTAATATAAATTGTGAGATATAAAAAAGGAAAAAAAAGTCAGAATTGTGAAATAAAAAGTCAGAAGCTCGTTTCCGCCATGTATAAAAAATTCAAAATTTAATTGACTTTTTATCTCACAATTTGGACATTTTCTCACAATTCAGACTTTTTTCCCCCTCGCAATTCTGAGCTTATATCAGATAAATTAATATATGATATATAAACAGAAATATGAGACATAAATGTGCAATTCTGAGAAAAAAAAAGGTCAGAATTGTGAGAGAAAGTCACAAATTTCTGCCACGTAATGGAAAAAAAAAAGGTAACTTATTTTGTAGCTCACAATTTGGACTTTTCTTCTCAGAATTGTGAGCTTATAGCTATCAATTCAGATTTATAGCTCACTTCTAAGTTTAACTTTTTTTTCTCTGAATTACGAGAAAAGAAGTCCGAATTGCGAGAGAAATTTTTTTTAGAATTTCAGAATTGTGAGATAAAATGTCTCAATTACCTTTTTTATTTTTTACTCCGTGGCGGAAACAAGCTTCCATACTTTCCTGATTCTTACATTCATATAATTCAGATTTAAAGCAGCTTTGAGCAACTCAACAACACTGATACCTTGATCCAGTCCTCTTTGTCTTGCTCGGAGCTGTGAACAACGGAAAGCTACAGTCATTATGAGCTAAAACAGACGTTATTTTCCATATCGGCATGGTTCTGCCTTCACCTGGCCTGCAGCTCCAGCGTTCGCTCTTTACCCGACACCTGGAAAGTGTGAGGATAGTCGTCATTGGAGGTCTCGAGCACCTTCATGCCCTCAACGCCCACCCGCGTGCGCACAGTGAACCGCTGGCCCACCAGACTGAACTTGGGCACGCAGTACAGCAACATGTTGTTAAACTGTGAAAAGAGAAGGACGGCGTGGGTTTAACTCCCAAATGACAGCAAGAAAAAGTCATTTTTGTCATGTTTTTCAGCAAAACATCTAAACATTCTTAAATCAAGATACATTTACTTCATAAATCTTGTTTTCTGAAAAAAAAAAAAAAAAAAAAAAGTGACTTTATGCTCAATTTTGTAAATGTATCATGATTTAAGAATGTTTAGATAGAAAACAAGCCACAAATACCGAGTAAGAAACAACTAACCAGGAAAAGGTATCTCTCCATGGACGAGGTGTTCCTTGCGGCCAGCTTTAGGATTTGTCCTTCTTTAATGAGCTCGTTGGACGGGTTAACGATGTCCTCCTCACCTCCCAGCATCTCATAGATCTCCATGAGCTTCTTCAGATTCTCCTGGAACACATGCGGAGAATGTCTGCATATAAAACCAATGAAGACTTTACAGAGATCAAAACACTAATGGCTTGTAGAGCCGGATTGTTGGTTGGTTGGTTGGTTGGTGTTTCAACACCGTGCCAGCTTCGATGGCTATTTTCATGGTGAATAACAAGTTGAAATGCTATAAAAGAGCAATTTAAAAACCTATACATGGTTTGCTTTGGATAAAAACTTCAAAATGAATTTACGGTTGAAATGTATTTGAAAGTACTTAATTTAAAAAATAGTGGCCTGAATACACAAAGTTGCAATCGAAGCACATTTACGACCCCAGTTGCATATGAAAATCATAAACGCAGTCAGGAAACAGGCCATCTTGGTCTGACTAATCTGTGTAACTAGTAGCAGGTTAAGTGAAAGTGTCTCTCACCATCTTGCGGATGGCCGTGTTGGAGTGTGTGGCAGCCATTGAGATGATGTTCAGAGACTCTGGAAAGGAGAAGGAGAAGTGATATCTCAGCTGACTCATCCAGTTATGGAACTGAAAACATTTGGGAGCCAAACAACACTTTCACTTTATCTCAAACGTTCACATTCTTGTGCAATATAAGTTTTGAACATATTAGTCGCTATTATAAATTGTGAGGCAACCAAACGCATGTATCTCTCACTCTCGGCCTGGCTGCGGTCCGGGTCATCCTCCGGGAGTTTCTTCAGATAGTCTTTGAGCAGCATCTCGTAGCGAGGAACCCGCTGCACCGGCTCCAGCATGTGATGCTGCAGAGTCAGATTCCCACACACCTCCTGACTCTAAACAAAAAACATCATCATCTCAACCTATTAAACATAAATTCCACATTAACATTCAATCTATGTGCTGTTTATTGCATACTGCACAATGCATATTATGCACTGCCTACTGTCTACTATTAAAAATAGTATGTGAAATAGTATAAACATTACAAAGAGTACTTTTACCAGTTCATTTAAATACGGAGTCAAAATAATGTTTCCAGTGCATTCATCACAGTGGAAATGGAAGGTCATGCACATTGCATTGTGGGATACAGTATTCTAGGCAGTGTGCTCTAGTTATATACTGTATACTGCACATTTTGGGAAATGTTGCATGACGTCTTGGATTTTCATACAGAAAATTGGTGTACTGCAAATTATTATTCAAAAAAGTTAATTATTATTTTACACATAAAACAATTAAAAATGTATTTTATATGTATATATCCAAAATAAAAGTTTTTGTTTACATAACATATGTATGTGTACTGTGTATATTTACTTATTATGTATATATAAATACACACACATAGAGTATATCTGTGAGCGGGTGTGAGATCTGAGAAGAAGCGTGAAGATGAATCAGCACTCACCACTGGCTCATCCGCGTCTCCAGATCCGGCAGGAGGAACTGGCTGTGGAAGGTGTAGATGGATCCCACATTGGAGAAGATGCCTTTCACCACCTCGACAGGAAACGTCCCCTTCCCAGCCTCCTCAGTGAGTTTAGCGCAGAACACCTGCAGAAACACAGTACACACTTCACATGCACACTCTTAAAAATAAAGGTTTTCTAAGAGGGTTTTTTGTAGAAATGCCATAGAAGAACCATTTTTGGTGCCCTTTCAGTGATCATTTCTTAAAAGAACCAATTTTATTAATGTGAAGAATATTTTAATAATCTTTTTCCATTATAAAAAACCTGTGCAATGCAAAGGTTCCATTTTTAATTTCATTAAAAAAAATTAATAATTTATTTAAAAAATTTTGAAATTACATTTTAAATTAACAATTTAATTAATTTAACAATTGTTCATGGAGCCATACATGATCATTTTAAAATTAATAATTTAATGTAATAATTTTTTATATTTTTAAAAAAGGTTTCAAGGATGATAAAGGTTCTTCATGGAGCCATATGTGATCATAATTAAATTTTTAAATCATAACCATAAATTTAAAATTAATTTAAAATGAATAACTTAATTAAATATGTATTAATAATTAAAACAAAATTAAATACTATTTTTAAATGTAATAATTTTGGTAATTTAATCATTTTAAAATTAATAGTTTAAATAATTTAATAATTTTTAATACCTTTAAAAAGGTTCCATGGATGTGAAAGGTTCTTCATGGAACCATAGATGAGAATTTTTTAAAAAAGAATAATTTAAGTAATATTTTTGTTAATAACGGTAAAATTAAAAATGTAAGTAATTTAATCATTTTAAAATTAATAATTAAATAATTATATAAATGTAATAACTTTAAAAAGGTTCCATGGATATTAAAATTTTAAGTTCTTCATGGAACCACAGATGGTTAATTAATAATTTAACCAATTAAATATTTGTTTTAATAATTGTAAAATTAATAATGCGAGTAATTTAATAATTTTCTAATTAATCATTTAAATAATGTAATCATTTTAAATCATTTTAAAACGTCCATGGATGTTAAAGGTTCTGTACGGAACCATCAATGGCAATAAAGAACCTTTATTTTTAGGAGTGTTCGGTGAGAAGAATGATTTTAAAGAGTTTGGACTGACCTGGTCCAGCAAATGCAGCCGGGTCACATACGCCCTCTCGGTCTGCAGGAGCTCACTGGCTATCTTATAGAGCTTGAGCTCTTTGATCGGCTCCTGTTGAAAACAGCCTGTTATTTCCTCTCTGTTACTGAATCTGAAAGCGTGGCATGTCTCTGTGGTAATGTAATTTAGGTAAAGTCTGCTGCTGGAAAGCCACTAACAGTCTGAGTGGAAAAATACAGGGTCATGTGGTCAGGTAGATGGGCCACTTCTGATTAAAATACCTGATAGCAGTCACACAAAGACTGATGTGCAGCTTTATTCTGGCATTCTAATGTGCAATATGATGAACATTTTAGCTAGCATTTAAGTTGATGCCATGATGCTAAAGTGTTGTAACTGGTTGTCAGGATGCAGTTTTGTGGTTCCCACGATACTGTTTTCAGTCAAGAGAGTCCACATCCCAAATCACGCCGATATTTTGGTCTCTAGATAAGGCTTGCATCCCTTTTTCAAGGGACTGAACAGTTCACATTACATTTACGTTTGGATCTGATTGCTTACCATTCATGCCTGTACCATAGGACATGCGTTATTAATAAAAATTAATAATTTAAATAATGCAATTAATAAATTATTAACTTAATAATTTACATTTAAATAAGGTATTCATAAAACCACTTTTTACAATAATTAAGACAAATACAATTTATATTATTAAATAATAATAATAATAATAATACATTTTCACCCATTTTATCATCTCACAGAATGCTTTTAATATTAAAATAATTTATGAATTTTCAATCATTTTAAAATAAATAATTTAATAATCAATAAAACCAATTTTTTAAATAATGTACATTTAAAAACAATTTTAATAATTTAAAAAATAATAATTTACTTTAATTATTTAAAGAATGTATACATTTTTTACTAAATAACACCTTTTGCAATAATTAAGACAAATGCAATTTGTATCTTGAATCTTAAAAGTAACAATAATATTAGTACATTTTCACCCATTTTACAGCCGAAAATAGCAGATCTGATCGCTTAACATTTATGTTCGTACCATTAAATGTGCCAATGTTTAATAATTAGGGTTCGATATTACGAACACAAAGTGTAAGTGCTAGTACTAGTGATGCTGCGCAGTATGTCAGTATCTCACTTGTTTGTCTTCATCTTTCTCCATGTTCTGCGTCTCTTCATTTAGGACGTTCTCCCGAGTCTCGTCCTCGTGGTCCTGTAGAGCACTTTCTCTCCTGCCGGTTTCTGAGGGAGCCGGGAGATGTCCAGCGTCCGTCTCTTGCTCTACAAACTCAGTGTGACCTTTGACCTCTTCTGACCACCAGCCCGACCAGACGTGCCAGCCGGAGTCCTGCGAGGACGTCTGAGAGTAGACGGCGTCTGAACGCTCGGGGCTCACCGGGGCTTCGATGAGGCGCTCAGCTGGAGAACAGTCTGATGAAGCTTTGGTGACGCTGGAAGAGAGAGTATTAGATGCCAAACACTGTGTCTAGAACAGCGCTTCAACAGGAAGTGAAAGTTTCAAAGGCGGAGCAGAGGGTTACAGAGAGAAACGAGGGGGTGAATTTCCCCTCACTGTCCTATTTATGAAGTGTGAACGTACAGTACTAGTCAACAGACTGAATTTTTCTCAACTACGTTTCTCGTTAATCAAACAATTTTCACTCAGAAATTGCTAGTAAATTTCACAAATAATTACAAGGAAATGGCAAGTAGCACATTGAATTAAACATACAATTTTGAAATAGAAAGACCAAAAATGCACTCCAATAACGCCCACGTCCTCCGTCATCCGCTAGACGCCACTCTCTCGTGTCAGCAGAAGCTAGAGATTATGGTTTATAACATTTTAAATATGGTTATTTTTCTTATACAGGCGCATCGATTCGCTTCAGAAGGCCTTTATTCACCCCCCGGAGCCGTGTGGAGCACTTTTTATGATGGATGGATGGATGGATGCCCTGTTTTGGGCTTGACCACTATTCACATATAAAGCTTGGAAGAGCCAAAATATTTTTTAATATAACTTTCTGAAAGAAGAAAGTCATGTACACCTAGGATGGCTAAATCATGGCGTAATTTTCATTTTTGGGTGAACTATACCTTTAAAAGTGTTGAAACATGTATACAACTTCAATATTTTTTTAAAAAAGCATCCCAGGACCCTTGACCATTTTTTATTTATTTA